CAGGTTGTTAATGAGTCTTCCTCCAATCCTGACGCCATGTTCTTCTTCATATAATCCAGCTTCTCAGATTATTTGCTCAGCATACAAATTGAATAAGTATGGTAAAAGGATACAACCTTGATGCACTCCTTTCTTGATTTTAAACCATGCAGTATCCCCTTACTCTGTTCGAACAACAGCTTCCTGATCACTAGGTTCCTCATGAGTTCAATCAAGTGTTCTGGAATTCCCATCCTTCTCAGTGTTATCCATAATTTGTTATGATCCACACAAGTTAATGCTTTTGCATTATACCTTTATACCATGCACTGTTTCAAGCATTTTACACGTGTTAACTGATTAATCAGTAAGTAGTAGTATTCCCATTTGTTCTATGAAAAACTGAAGAACAATTAAGTAATTAAGTAACTTGCCTAAGATCACATATTCACGCATTGAGGAAATGGGAGAGGCAGGATTCAGGCCTGGGCAGTCTTGTTCTAGAATCCATGCTTTTACCTGTTGTACCACATCATCTCTCTAATTAAGATAGAAAATAAAATTACACCAATGTCATAATTACATAAAGGGGAAGGTCTTCAACGAGATGGATTGACGTAGTGGCTACAATGATGGGCTCAGGTATAGCAAGAATTGTGAGTTGGCACAGGACTGGACAGTGTTTCATTCTGTTGTACATAGGGTTGCTATGAGTCGGAGCCAACTCAACACCACCTAACAACAACAGCAGCAGCATAATTACAGTATATTTGGTATAGAATGTGTTATTGGTGAGATCTGGCAGGCTATGAATGACCAGCAGTCTGATGGGTATGAGCACATTAATTAGATTTTTAACCAGTGTTATGATGGTGATATGTGTGATGTGATAGTCCTTGACTTTTTCTGTATTTATATGCAAAAAATATTTGGAAGACAAATGAGTTTAAAAGGGTATGTGTATTTCTGTAATAGCGTATGTCCTGTATTATGTGCCCTGCTTTGGATGCTAAAATGTTGTTTTGCCCCCTATTATTATTCTTCTGATTTAAATTCTCTAAACTGAAATAATGTTAATCCATTATAGGTCAGGTTCCAGACACTAACCAATTTATTGCAGAAGATCATTAATGATAATACTGAAAGCAGTTCCCTTGAGTGGTAGAAGTGGAAACCAAATTCTTGGAAACAAAGTGAATGAGAATGCAAGACTAGATGGGAGAAGAGAGAGGAGTTTTTTTTTTTTTTATTAGGATTTGGGTGAAGATTTACAGAGTAAATT